AAATAATAGAAGTAGTTATACATCCGACTATATATATATATATATATAGATATAGAGATTCACACCAACAAATGTGAGCATTTACGGTAGTTGAAAAGTAGGTTCGTCGAAGACGGGCTGCCGGAACATGGCATGGAGACCGGTGACGCCTCCGGAGATCAACAAAATCAAAAACACGATGTTCATTCCATTCATAAAGTAAAAAGACAGCAAAGCGACAATGGAAAGGATTGTGTAAAGTTGAATTGGAGTGAAGGCCCTATTCCACAGGTAGACCTGCCCTGTCGAATCCGCGTGGAGGGCAAGATTGCGAATGTATAAGAAGCCTAGCGGAATGAGCAGCATCCAAAGAGTGAAAAGCGGGTTTATTAACAGAATATATGAACAGCAGACAAGGGATAGGAGAATGTAGTTGCTATAGAAGTACGGGATGTTCCGTGAGATCCGGTTAGGAATGTCGGAGACGCTCGCAGGAAAGGAGAAGAGAGCGCGATTGAAGAACTCCTCCCATGGCCGCGTTCTGGAAAATAAACTTTTGAGACTTCCCACGCTAACATGATAGAGCTCACGAAGTTTGACAAGCGGGGGGTCATTTGAAGAGATGATCTTGGCGTAGCTTGTAGTGGGGGAGTTGTTATTAGCGTTGTCTTTAAACGGCGTCGACGCATTTTCATTGGGCTTCATGAACGGGACCGTTGCCATAGAAAAAGGAGAGAGGTTTGTGTTTATTTCCTTTGAAATAATTTATTAGCTCACGTTTTCTTTGTGTGTCCCTTGAAAAAAGCTTTAAGGGGAAAAAAAGAAAGCCAATAAAATAATGATAATATATACGCAATTTTTATTTTATTTACTTTTATCATTATTATAAAAACAAAGGTTAGTCATTGCAAATAGGAGGTAGATATATTGGACTCACATTGCCTTTCCCTTCATTCTGGATGTACATTCTTGCTTTTATATATAACCTCATCTTTACTTTTGAAGGTAGGGCAGTAAATCAGAGTTATCTCTCTCTCTCTCTCTCTTTCGATATATATATATACAAATATATATATTATTGTATGTATACTTTTTTTTTTCAGAACTCTTTCATTTCATGTGACTTTCGTTAACCTCAGACAGGAATCATTCAGTTTTCTAAATTCTTAAGTATCCTCAAAGGATATCCTTAATCTTTCTCGTTCTTTCTCCGCATTCCGCAGATTTTCATTCGAACGCATTTCATCTTCCGGGCTGAGGAGGTCACCTTCGAGGTAGACCAAAAATAACATCAACAGCATCAACGCATTGCGCACCAACCGTGGACGGCACTTTTCCAGCTTCTCATCATCAAAATATGTTGGAGTTCTCCACAAGGCATGTGGAATAATGATGAAAAGGTTCATTAAAGTCACCAACAACCACGTCTTTACACCCTCTGAAAAAATAAATATAACACCGTACGCAAATAACAAGCTATGTCCGAGGTTATGGTACGAAATTTGTAAACCACAGAAGCAAACATAATTATGCGATTGACTAGATTCAATGCCGTTTACTAAAACACTGTAGAGCAGCATACATGTGATAGAATAAACTACAAAATATGGAAAATTATAGAAATACAAAAAAGGCAGTGTGATTACGCAGGATAGCTCCATATAGTTTAACGCGTAGTAGGGGATGTTCAGGTTAATCCGCGAGAGCATTTCTTTTGAATTGGCTGGCATGCTCATCCGATCGAGATTCATGAAATCCGACTTCCATGGCAGTCGTTCGTTGTCAACGTTTTTGTACATGTTTATAGGCGTATCTAACACCTTCCATATTACATCAGTGATAACATACAAATAAGAGCTCTCCCATGAAGCCTCTGAGACCTTAATAGGGGTATTCAATTTTTGATTTTCCATTTCCTTTGGTTCATTTTTGATATCATTAGCATTGCTTTGAGTAAACGAATTGTCATCTGCGGAGGGAACCGTTGTTGGGGATAAGAGGTCCTCCAAAAAATGGTTATCATCATCAGTATTGGTGTAGAGGTCATTCATAGTAGTTTCACATCGATTAGAATAGTATTGCAAAGGAGAGCTCGACGCGCCTGTCGAGTTAGAGTAGTAATGCATTATTATATTTGGCGCATGGGAGGACTCCCCGTGGTATGAGGTTTCTTTGGTGTTTGATTGGTGTTTTGAATCATTTTCACAGGTGTAATCGTCATGCTGAGAGCTGTAATGGAGTTGAATGATGTTGCTTTCTCCTCGGGAATGTAAGTTCAATGTTTTCCTATGTTTTTTATGCATCATTGTTGGTTTAAGTTCCCACACTAAGTTATTGCATTTGCTTATGCTATGTGTTTTTGTGAATATAAGACCTTTCCTTTTCTAAACTTTTATTACCAAAAGCAATTCGAAGCATTGAACTCACAATTTGGGAAAGCAAGTTTAATGTTCATTTAACTTACCAAGAGTATCAAACAAATCAAATACTTTTTTTCTCCCATTCTCAATAGTTTTAAAAAATCCATGTGGAATGTACTTCTCATTATCACTATGAGTGTGTGAATATATGATAAAAAAATGTGGTATCCTGAGCATCCTGCGCTGCTAACTTATTATGTTTCTCGTACTCGCACAGAAATTTTCAATTTCATCTATCGCATTAACCGCAACAACTTGATGTCGTCTCCTATACGTTTAACCCTCTTACGAGATTTTATCGGCTGAGGGAGAGTACTTCAGGGTCCTTATCGTGGTTGGAAATGCATGCGTACAGATTTACCCTTTCAGCTTTTACTATTACCACTTAATGATTATTCGCCCCACTTTCAAGGAGTTGAATCAAACGATTTGGTATAAATGAGAGTTTCACAAATCCAAAAGACTTTACAACTTTTTTTTTGGTCATTATGTATAGATATTCTATTGTTTTTCTTTATCTATATATGCTTCTTTAAAAATACTCACAATGTGCATGCAGTAAGCTTGTTTAGATTCTGATAATCTTCCGGGTATGCTAATCCCCAAGTCATTGAACCTTTTCTAAAAATACTAATATTCAAAAGATAGTCAACGATCTGACCCTCTCTTCTCTTGTAAGGGAGTGAACTGCCTTTGCTGCCATTGCACTTTTATTCTATAGTAGAGATATTATTCCTGAAGAACTTCTATCGTTACACCAGACTGTAGATTATAATGGGATATGGGATGACGATCATGTAGAATAACCGCGGACGTGCCATTCATTTTGCCTTCTTTACCTCCACTGCTTCCTGCCGGAACCACGCGGAGTACACAACGCGATAACGGAATCAATGTTTTTCGTTGAACAGCAGCCCGGAGCTTCAGAACTCTTTCCTCAGTCGGAACACGTTCATGCCACCGCATGTTTTTCGCTTTATACGAATAATGTATCAAAATAGTTCCATCCTGTTCCTTAATCACAACATCAGCCAACGGGGGTGAGGTTTGTGGGCTGGTTCCCCGGCTCGACTTCAGAGCTGGGGGAACCCCCAAGACGGTGTTTCCGATACGCGTCTTTCCACTTAGACGCGTTTCACCGCCAAGCCACCACTCTTGGAGAGCCGCTTTGATCCCACAGCTTTCCTCCACCATCAACATCGCGTCCCCGATCGTATCTTCGACGTGGGCAGTCACGCTGAAGGTTTTCTTCGTGCTCGAGACAATCACCACAAAGGTACGCCAGCCGTTTGCTTTGGCGTTTGGGGAGGCGGTGCGAGAGGACAAGGAGCGCGGGGCCTGGATGCGCTCTGGTGGGGCGGCAGTGATGCCGCCACCGGCGGCCTCTTGTGGGGGCGTCTGGCGGTCGATATGCTCGAGCGGCAGGGCACTAAGTCCACCCGCCAGCACCTCGGAAAGGGGTCCCACGACGTGGTGATGTCGTTGCGCGCTGGACGAGGCGACATTAACAGCGAGCGGCACGCCAAAGGCTGCCCACATAGCATAGTTGTGCAGAAAATATTGCTTAAAGTGCTCAAAGGAAACGTGTGAGAGGGTGCCAAAGATGTCGGTTACCCATCGTCGAATCTCCGATTGGGGCATATCACACGTCTTGCCAATCAGCGAGTGCTCCAGTAAGTAGTGAACCTCTTCGAGGGCAATAGCATTCTCCACATCACGACGCAGCGCAACAAAACAGAAGCTCGCGGCCTCGATTGCGGAGAGACCCTTGGCATGAAAGGCAAAGGCTACCATCAGCTCTTTAAGATCCGCGGCAGTCAATTCCTGGATTGAGCGGTTAAAAAAGGTGCTCGCGACGTTTGCGACACCAGCGTCGATCCCAGTACGGCCCATTAACACTTCAAAGAGATGCCGAACATGCTCCGCCATCGGCTGCGCCTCGAGAACACAGCGCCGCCGCCATGCACGCCTCGCTGCCGCGGCTACGTGTCCCTCTGATTCCCACATCACGGGCTGATAAGCGGAGAGGGGTGTATCGGGTATCGGCGGTGCGTCGTCGTTTCCCCCCTCAGTCTTCACTTTCCCATCCCACGCCACGTGCGCGAACTCCTCCTGGTGAAGTGGGTCGTTGATGCGGGGACAGCGCTCGACGCCGCAGATCGGCGTCCCCCCCTCAAGCTGCCGCCGCGAGAGCCGGATAGAGGCAAGCAGTATGCCCCAATCGGCTCCTTGCGAGGTGCGGACGGGGGCCGCCCAGTGCACGTCCCGGTCCAGCCCCTGCAGCGTGGAGAGCGGGGGCAGCGGGAGGCTCACGAGAACGTCTGTGACAGTGGCCTCCCCTTGGTCCCATTGGCTTTGACTGAGGCTTTGGCTTAGACCTTGGCTGTGGCTCAGGCTCTGGCTCAGGCCGAGGCCGTGTCCGGAGGCTTTTTCACATGGTTGCTGAGACAGGCCCGGCGCACTGCAGTGGAGGTTCACCACACGGAGCTGGGCGGCACTGCGAATGGTAAGGAACATCGGCCGCCGCGGGCCCGCGAAGGCAAACCGCTCCATCCCGCCGAACTCCACAGACGTGGTCAGCCCTGCACCGTCTTCGTTGGTGAGGTAAGACGGGGCTAGCCAGGTGCACTTTAGGGTGAGTCCCAGGGGAAAGGACGGCGCGGCCGCCCCAGCGGCGAGGGGATGCTCCACCCCCTGCAGCGCCCCACCGTGCGGCCGCATACGAACGTGCCAGCTCACCCCCACATGCCCGAAATCGTCCAGGCGCTGCTCCATCAGCACCCGCATGTCCTCCAGAAAGAGCGGATCGGCGGGGTCGTGGACGTTTCGCGGCTGCAGCATCACCTTAACCGGCCTCTCAGACGGCGATGCGCTCTCACAGTGCGGGGAAAAAGGGCAGTAGGCGACGCCGAAACAGCGACGACTGCCGCTCGGGGCCTCGGCCTCCTCTATCACGATAACCACGTAGTCTTCAATTGTCTGCGTTGAGCCGGCAACAAGACCTTGGGGGTCAGATTTGTTCAGATTCGCATCACGTCGTCCGGTAGTTTTGTATTGATCTCGTGCATTATATGCAGCATCAGGCGGCTTGTTCGTCAGGCTTGTTAGGGAGCTACTGTCCTCCACGTCAAAACCCACAGTCTCACCGAAGGAGGGGCGGCAGGTGAAGAGCCGCGGTGTAGTGCGGCCGACCTCCCTTGTGTTAATAGTGACCTGAACCCCTCTTGCACTCTCAACAGGGGATTTTCTCGGATCGCTCGAAGGGTTGTTAGACAGCCTCTTCTCATCAGTTTTTTTCTTCTTATCGATGGGCTGAATGTTGTTATACATAGGAGATAATACAGAGGTAGGGGAGACAACCGCTGCGGTGTTTGCTGCAGTGGTGCCTGGGTCGAGGAGGGTCTTTACTGTCATCACAAAAACGCGAGCAACCGGATTGCACTGAAGGACCCCCGCAGAGGCCAGGAAAGCGTCGTGAATGGTCAGTTCCACATGGTTACTGAATCCAACCACTAGTGGCTGATCGACAGCTGGCATGTATCTGAATCTGCTCTAGAAAAAGTTACCCTCAAGATGAATAGAGCTTTTTGTTGTTGCTTTTCTATGGAACTTATGAAATAGATTGTAAGATTGTCCCAAAATCTAATCAAGTAAGGGATCAAGGATAAATTTTTTGCCAAATTAACGTGAATATTTCGTAGATCTATATTTGTGCGATACCTAAAAAAAGGTGTATATTCTGAAAGGAGAAGAAAATAAATGATACAATCATGAGTACATTTTATGAGTATGTAACAATTGAGCTTATGGTGCTTAAATTAATTATTCTCTTTTTTTTGCCACGTTTTTTATTTTGAAATTTTTATTCCACTTGAAAGCATATGTATGTAATAAGAAGAAAGGGGAAAGGCACATAGATCCTTAAGGTTCACACTGGATTTGTTATAGTTCTCCTACATGCGATCTAAACTCTCAAATGAACACAACTATAGCATATACAATCAAAAAAAAACGACCTACAGAGGGGTAAATGATACTAGTGGGTGTACTAAATAATTATAAGAAAAAATCACTAATGTGATAATTTAGCGACATTATATGATCTTAATTTCAAATTTCCCTTATCTTATAAAAATTTCTGAAACCTCTCATGAGCTGTTCTTCTTGTTGCTGTAGGAAGTAACACGAGGACGCGTTAGTAATATTGGTATGAGAGTGTGTTTAATTCGAAAATAGAGCAAAAAAAAGCAAGGAATCAAGGGTATATCTCCCATAATTTCTAATAAATGTTAAAAGCAAATAAACTTTTTTTTTGTTAATCCATACCATATATAAGTAGATAGACTTTTCAAATGATAGTATTTTTAGTGAAAAGATCTCTTATAAATGAATGCTAAACACATTTACACATCCATTTTCGACATCCCTTAAGGGGTGAACTAATTGATAACTCATCAGGATAGTTGTGTGTGTTACCACCAAAACATTTTTTACTATATCTGGATTTCCCATTTTTGCACACGCGCACCCTTCTAAGGAGCCCCAACCAGGGTGAACGCACCCCACAATTTTACAGGCCACTCTTTTTCAATCGCCTTCCTCAACGTCATGCGGAGCGCAAGCGCATAGGGAAATTTCAAATCATAACGCCGCACCAAATCCAAATGCTTCAAATAAAGCACCAGAAACTCCTTATGCATGGAATTGATTGAGGTGCCAGTAATTATATTTAACAGCAGCACACGAGTACAGCGGAGTTCAAGGCATAGACTGAGCGCCCCGACAGGCTCCGTTTCACTCGTGGAAACTCCTCTGTCAACCGCAATGACGAGAAGCTCCAAGTGGTCCAGGCCATGCGCGGTGCACGCCCCGCTGCAGCAGCTCGTCTCTCCCTCCCCCGTCTCCTGCCCCCGTGCCGAGGCTAAGTCGCGGAGGCCGATCACGCCATCTGCTACCTTCAGACGATCGTCCACCGGGCTGTTGAGCGCCATGATGACGTGGTTTTGGGGATCTGCAAAGGCGTTGAGAAGTTCCTTTCGTGTGCATCCCGCGTGGATCGACCAGCAGGAGCGCAGGGGGGCAAAGGGATCCTCAACGTCCGGCTCGTTTGAAATTTCCTGCGTGGAGTTTCGTACACCCCCATTTGGCGTTGTATCGCTGGCGGCCTGAGGTGAAGTTACGGATGGTGTGCCATGCAGAGCCGGTTCCGACTCGCCAAGGTTGACGGTGTTCAAGTTGATATTACGATTGTTCGCACGCGCTTCTTCTTCAGGCAAAAAAATGATTTTTTTTTGTTTGTGATTGAGTGCTGCTATTGTAAGCGGTGGTGTAGCCCTATCGTTTTCGCGCCTAGAGACACCGAACTGAACGAGGTGAGTGACGGAGGGGGTCACGACAAGCGTCGCCTGCTGCCCGAGGGGTTCGTTCCTTTCCCCTGGGAAGAGATCATCCGAGTTCGGCAGCAGTGCGTGGAAGGGAACACGTAAGAGAGAGGGGTCGGCGACGATGATTAGACACTCCGCGTCGGACAGGTTGAGGTTCGCGCGGCGGAAGGAGGACTGCACAGGTCTCCAGAGCTCATCATAGAGGTATTTCAGTTGTGTCCGAATTTCACATTCAAGAACGTGCTCCACTATCGTGGAACTCAGGAACGACGCGCTGCCGGTGCTGGCTTCACACATCGCACTATTTTTACGGTTAAGGCTGCCGACACTTTCTGTTTTAGATGGGATCTCACCCGATGGGAGCTCCAAGGTTAAGCTCTGTGGGATAGCTTTTTTTGTTGTATCTAAGGTATATGCAAACATGGGATCCGTTCCTATGGCGGCTTGTTTTGCTGCTTTCTTGACAACGCCTGAAAGTAGCTTTTTGTTGCAGTACTCCTTCAGCGTGGTGACCTGCGCGTAGCGGTGCATAAAATGGACGTGGTTTGCCGGGCGAATGATGACGTTGTAGGCAGCGCTTGATTCCGTCACGTATTCCGCGAAGAAAAACACAAAGACGCACCGCGGGTGGGTAAGCAAGGCGAGATCCACTCCTTCCGCAGGGGAGTACGGGATAACGTAGCGGCAGTGCGGGATTGTACAGGACCCATGGATAAGCCTTGTCGCCCACTCCATTATTTGTAATGCCATTCGATAGCAAAGCGTCGAGACCTTACTGGGACGTTTGTTACAGCATTCCACATGGTTGTGAAGGACTTCGGACATCAGGGGGGTGGTGTTAGTCATGCAAGCTGTGTGGGTTTTGCCTGGTGGTTTCACACAGGCCGTAACGTTGCTATGTGCATCTGAACTTCCGACTCCGTTGAGGGCGTCCGTTCCTGCCATCGCCGCGGCCGGACGGCTGCACATAGAGACATTTGTTGATGTCATGCTGGGAATGGCTGTGGTGTGCTTTGTTATTGTTGTCGTTAAGGTCGCTGTCACAGGGGAGAGACAGGATGGCTTCTGCTTCTCTTCTAAGGAAGAGGCCTGCGGTTTGCTCTCAACCGCGTTGTGAAGTGGCTCTCCATCGGCGTAATTTTCGGGGCTCGTGACATGCCCTCCTTTGTTTCTAACAGGCGTTTTATCAATATCGGCATTTTCCGGCTTCTGTGCTGTTTCAAAGCTTATCGGTGAGTTCGTATTGATCCTGATCCCATTGTCGTCTTTGTTATTCCCAACTGTGGAGGTGGGGTTCTCCTTGGGCGATATTTTCCCACTGTTGTTTTTAGTCTTGTTAGAAGGAACGGTGAGGTCGGCTGGAGAGGTGTTTTCCAACGTGCTGTCATTCGTATCCTTGCTCTTGTCAAGATACATGCTCATCCCAGAAAAAGAGTGGTTTTGTATGCTATCAAGAAACGTACTGATATTATCATCGACCAAGCAGCTTTGATCCTGTTTGATTATTCCACAACCAGAACGCATCCTGTCATCCTCTTCCAACATTTGTGCGAGGTCGCCACTGTGGTTGTGCAAACCGCTTTCATAGACCTCGCCACCGCTTGCAAAGATGGAATTGTTAATGAGTCCTTTATTAGCATGCCCGTCTACGCCAGGGTGAGTGCTGGCAGTAATGCCAGGTTGTGGAAGTTCCACATTCACCTGCATTTTGTCCTTGTTTAGATAGTAGTTCTGCACAAGCCATCGTGCAGACTCAATGACACAGAGCTTGTCTTGATGCGAAATATCTCCTTTTAGGTGCGAAAAGCTTTGTAAAGACAACAAGTACCAGCGATGAGCAGCATAGTTGTCACCTTTAGCGATATAGGCAGCACCAAGTGCTCCATTTGCCCTACCGAATTCAGACCAATTCTGCAGTTGTCTAGCCTTGTTTACCCATGTGGAGAGTATTTTTATGGCATCAGCGACTTCACCGTTACCAAGTCGAGCACGTGCGCGAAGTTCTAACAGTTTGCCATTCCACTCTCCGGACTTCTCCTGTACTTTTTCTCTCTCGTCTAGAACTTCAATACATTCCTTGTAGTGCGCCAGCTGAAGGTGAGAGTTAGCTAGGGCCTCCAAGGCATAGCGCAGGTCCGAGGCGGCGTCAGTTCCTTCTGCCGCCAAGGCAAGTTGTTTGAGCTCCTCTGCTGTGCGGATGATATCGGGAAACAACCTCGCAGCTTCCTGCACCGTGACGATATTGCGCAACGTCTCTCGGCTTACTTCCTTGTCCTCGTACTTCTTAGCAAAAGCACTCACCCGCTCCCACATTTCTTGCGCCAGCTCATGTTCTTCCGTGATTGTGTATAGGCGAGATAGGGAAAGCATTGATTGATACTCAACCAGCGTATTATTGGACTCTTTCGCGTATTCCAGAACAGGTTTGAGGTATTGAATAGCTATCTTGGGTTTACCTAAAGCCTTATAGACGTTAGCGATTCGGCTGAGAGCCATGTTTTCACACACCTTACACTTTATTTGCTCTTCATATGCTATAACGGCACGCAGATCCTTAGCTCCTGTACTTGTTGACGGATTTATTGTGCCAATCCCTTCCATGATTTCTTCTTCCTCATCATCGAATTCTTGATTAAGTTCTTCCATTAATAAGAGATCGAGTGTAAGTGCAGACACATCAAGGTCTTTCGTGAACGTTTCGGCTGGAGTAGCAACGGTGGATGCACTGCTATAGTTTCCCCCGCGGCTGGCCATGGATTTACCACGTTTGCATGTTTCAGCAGCAGCTTCATTTTCATTTAAACAAATGACCAGGGTTCGGAAGTATGCCTCAAGGGCGTCTTCCCAGCGACACAGCAGGCTCAACGTATCACCTGCGGTAATCTCAAATTCGCAGTGCGCTTCGCGTACCTCCAAGCAGCCCGATTGAAGTGCCCGTAGCGCCGTCACCCGCTCACTCTTGCTGCCCAAGAAAACGTCGATGCGTTGAAACAGATCTTCCACCTTTTTGATTTTTCTAATGTCGGTAATATGACCATCAGCATCAAAAGCTTCGTGTACCGAAGTGCTATTTTTCTGAGGATGTTCGGCACTTGTGAGGTTTGGCACAATTACCGCTTCCATCCGTTCCTCGGAAATACGGGGGACTTGACTGTAAAAATCTGTGTGGTGATTTTCAATACCTTCAGGACATTCCACCTCAGGTGCCCGGGAAAGGGGTGTATTTTCAATCACGGGTTTTCCGTCTTCGGTATCATATAAGGGTCCATTACTGGAACGTGGATTCGATTTTGATTGTAAATTGAGAGATGATACTTCATATGATTTTTGGTCTTGCTTCAAGCAAATCTTCCTGCGTACGACATGCATCCAATAGAAACTATCCTGCAAAAGTGTACGAGTGCGCTCTACTACACGCAAGCCTCGCTCTCCGTCAAACTTACTCAAGCATTGGCCGTACAGCTGAAACACGGCGATACGCACGGAGTTGACATAGATCCGCAGCGCAATATCCTCTGCTGTAAGTGGATCCATAGTGGGGTCAAGTATCTCGTCCCACATCGGCGGACATGCCGGCACCGCATTTGGCTTTGCCTCAATCAGCGGCTCCAACAACAGGGCGGCTTTCTTGGGCTGGCCGAGCAGCAGCAGCGCCTTGGCGGTCACGATAAGACTCGAGGGGACGGCGGTCAACATGCGCTTGGGCGTCCCTCCTTTGGACTGCCACTTCTGGAGTGAGGCCTGGGACGCGTAGGCGTTGTTGACCGCGTTGCTCAACTGGACCCGGCGCGCCGGGACGTTAACCTCGTGCTCCGCCTGCGTCACAAAGGCCAGGGCGAGCATCCGTTGGCTCTCCGCGACCTTCCACCCCAGCTCCAGCTCCTCCTCCTCGTGCGGGGTAAGGACGTGGGGGTGCTCGTCGGCGCTGCTCGGGTCGGACGAGCCCGCGCGGTGGAGGTGGAGATTCACACTAAAGGCATTCGACACCACACGCGGGTTCGCCGAGGCAGCGTTAGACGGGGTTGGGGTCACTGTGGGATTGGATTCTTGAGAAGGACTGCCGATAGCGGTCGTTATGGAGGGAGAGGATTGAAGACTGACTCCACCAAGGGTGCTATTGAGATTATTCGAGTTGAGAATGACCCCAGTAGTATAGCCCATTTGGTTCTTTTTCTGTGCTGCAGAAGAAATTGTGACAGCATGTTTAAACAGCTCTACAGCACTGTGAAACTCTTGCATGTTCATGAGCTGCTTGCCACGTTTCATGAGAACGCCAAAAAGCTCATTATCGCGCAATTTATTCCGAAGTTGAAGTATGTTTTTTACACACTCATCAAAAAGCTTTTCGGCACGCGCGTTATTATTGAACATCGCATAAGCGTACCAAAGCTCCTTCATAAGATACACCTTTGTATTCAACAGTTTCATACGTGCTTTACCGAAGCGAAGGATGAAGGCACCCCTTGGCTTTGGGGAAATCACTTCGAGCATTTGCTCACACAGGGAACATTGAAGCAATACAAATTGTCCAGTTTCGATCACAGCCCCATACGCGCGACACGCCGCCTGGGCTTGTACCAGCTGTACCATAGAGTGAAGGTAATGCATTGCAGAGAAGATAGTCTGAGCACGACTACTCCACTCCTTGCGTTCATTTTTGAAATGCCTATTTGCAATTGGGAGGGCTTCATGAGATCGACCAGCGGACAGATGAGATTTAAGAATGGAATTGAGAGCCCGCTGACGGGCACGAAAGTCGTTGAGCATTCCCGATACCTGGCGCTCCTCACGCGCATACTTACTTGCAAGTTCAAGAGCGGGTGGTTGATCAGTGATGCAGTGTTCAACGCGTTTGTGTAGTGCAGCTGCCCACGACATTTTGGTTATTTGCATTAGCACTTCCTTGCCAACAGCGCACAGGGCTGGTTGTAAATACTGGTGCTCAGCAGAGCTTCGATCACCCGAATTTAGGATGTAATTATAACCCTTTGCGGTGGTATCATTACTCAGAGATGACCCTTCAGCTCCAGGTTCTAAGATCGCTGCTGTAGACGGATTGCATGAATGAAATGATAAGGTGGAGGATAAAGAGTGTAAGCCTCCAGAAATGATATTCACCTGTTCTGGAGATACAGTCATGTCGAGAAAATTTTTATCGTCATTGGGGTTGTTCTCTGAAGTAGTATTTTTTGAAGAATTCTGAATTAATGCCTCGTCTTCAAAAGAAAAAGTCGATACTCGGTAGTTTGTTGTTAGTCCCTCTGAGCCGTTTGTGGCTACAGGATGCTCTTCAATGGGAAGTGAGGGTTGTTTCACTTGAGCCATGTCTGGGCCTAATACGGCAAGTTCCTGCGGTGTCGCGGTCTTCTTTCTTAGGGCTGACCTGTGGATGCAAGAATGTAAAAAGTCGAAACGGGCTCGCTGACATTTGCTTTTCCATTCATCAGAACAGAAAAAAAAGGCAGTGGCAAGTTGACAAATCGTTGTACAATTAACATTGTGTAATAGGCCATTGAAATCACAATCTTGAGGAGTACACCCGCTATCGATGGTACCGAACAACCCATTCTGCGCCTGAATTCCAATAGGGGTTTCAGAACTACTTTTTGTGGTTCTCTCATCAGTTGCGGAGGTCCCTGCTTGTGTTGCCGTTGTTGTGTTGGTGGACACCATGACGGACGCCCCTACGGCGAAGCGCCCGTCGTCTTCATCCCGCACGAAGAGGATCTGCTTCAGGTACTCCGACCAACTTTTCAAGACCCCTTCCCTGTATGCGAGCTCCACCTCAGCAAGGAAGTCATCGAGGGTGGGGCCGTCTGGGATTGACGCCAGTGTGGGAGCGTTGAAGTTCGCGGCGAGGAGCTGTGGGGGAAGTGTGATGCTAGAACGCACGGGCTGGGGGTGTATCAATGAGGAGCTACCTGTAGTGGGTACCGGTGAGTGTTTCGTGCTCCCTCCCCCGCTGGTGTTGCTGTTTCCACAGCCTCCGCTCGCGTTTCCTATGGGGATGTGCGAGCTTTGAGGACATGAAACACCGCTATCGGGCTGATTGCCGCCCGTTGGTTTGGTGCGGTTCATGAACACAGATTGAAGCCGCCGCCACTTCTCGTCGCTGGTGACGATCGGCTTGACAAGAGAACGCTCATATGGCTCCTGCAGCATGCACATCATAAGCTCCAACCCGTCATCACGCAAGAAGCTTGCACAAATGACGCACTCAGCCATGGAGGGCCCGAAGGGGGAAAGGAGCCCGCGCAAGTTATTAATGACCTCAGGCCAGTCTACCGTTAGAACGTTTTGCTTGGTGTTGAAGATGCCTGCCGTGCTATTATAGAACTCTGGACTTTTGATGTCCGACTTACCAGTTTCTTTGTCTTTTTTCTCAATCGTCTTGTCGGCATGCTTGGATGAGGCAGTTTCTTGCGACCGCGACACTTCCAGAGCCGTCGTCTCTAAGCGGATAATATGCTTCTGAAGCATGGACCGAAGGATGATCCACGCTGCCAGCGAACAGGCCGCGCTGAGAACTTTGTCTATACTCTTCGCTAGTTCCTGTGAGGCGGCTTTGATCTTGGCGGTAGTATCTTTAGAGGTTTGGATGCCTCGCATTGCTGTGGGATCCACATGTTGCTGCGGCTGGTGATGTGGAGACCCTGTGGAGGCAATCTGTGGAGCCCCTGAAGGCACGTCACCATCCTTTTCCACTTCAGTTGTGTTTGTTTCCATAGATTGTTGCACCTGCTGCTTGCTGCTCCTACGGTCTTCCATTGAGGTCAATGACGGAAGCGCATCAAACTCACAAGCACTAGGCAGCATATCGTCTTGCTTTTGCTGATGCTTCAGAGCAAATATCATGTTATCATGTTCCTGTCCTTTGCGCTGCGTGTAGAAAGCTTGTTGATAGAGAATATCTCTTTCTGTGTAGATTAAAAGCTCCACAAGAGACAGAAGAAGCTGGCGCCATTCATAGATCGTCATGATCTCTAGGTCTGACTTCATGCTTGGCTCATTTGACGAGGGTTGCGGCGTTGTGTTTCCATCAACAACACCTTTTTGATCATTAACAGGATCACTGCTAGCTTGAGTCTCCTCAAGCGGATAGGCGCCTTCGCTATTGTCTTTTTTATCACTTTCAATTGAATGAGCAACATCATGTGGCTGCATATCAGTGTTTGAAAATGGTATGGTCATGTTCCCTGTGCAAGTGGTCTTGTTTTCGTTCCGGGAGCTTGTCTCGCGTTTAGCTATGCACTGCCGTATGTGTTCCTGCAGCTCGGACTCATTCATCTCAGGTACTTCCTGTAGACATACGTCGAGCGCCTCGATGAGTTCAGCTTTCTCCTGTTCCAAAGACGCCATCCACGTGTCAATATCCTCGACTTGGTCAAGTATAGCCGGACCCCATTCGCTCGTACCTACTAAGGTAGATCCAGGGGTAGAAAACTCCCCATAATTTGAGGTACCATCCCCCTTCCCTAAATTCATATTCAGAAAGTAGCACGCCGGCATATCAGTCACACTAGGTAAGGCGCCTTCTTGGTGTTGGGGGCAACTGCCTGAAGAAGTCGATGCTACCGTTGTGTTTCCACCTTTGAGGTCTTGTGCCATAGAACTTGAGCCTTTAGTTAACGCATCTCCTGTGGACAAGATCGCTGATGAGGACACTCGCGGTTGCTGCGTCCCAACTTCCCCGAGTAGAGCTAAATTCTGACGTTTGGACTCGTCGTGGGCGGAGAAAAGCCCAGTTTTCCTAGAGCTTTGGATACGGCGCTCAACCATAGCACGAATGTGCAGCAGAACTGCTTGTTCTGAAGCGTTTGGTGGGAGCCCCCTAAGAATATTGCTAATTGGACTAGATTTGTCTACAAAAGCAGAGGGTATTTCTGTTGTAACATTACTAGTGCATTTAGCATTTTTCGTATCCTTTCCTCCAGGTGAGCAAGTGTCCCGGCTACCCACCTTTTTGAGAAACTCGGCAATTTTCTTAAAACTGATCATCTTCACCAGCCTACTTTGAGGAGATTCAGAATGTAACACACCCTAAAAGATAATAAATGCTCCTAGTGAGGAGCAAAAGGGTAGAGAAACCCCGATTCTCTGTGGATGACTCCGTCACTTGTCACCTCCTTTCCTCCACAACAAATGGTATCGGAAGTTTTTTCCTATAAGTACTATCTGAATTGAAAAAAAAAAGTAAAACCAAACACCTGTGAAATTTGCACGAATGATGAAGGTAGTTGGAATATGAAATATAGTGAACCAAAAAGAAAGACTATCAGTGATAAAAGTATAAAGCTATTCTTTGAAAAAGACAAAGAATACTTAGCGCAGAGGTGTGTGTTTTACCCCCAAAATGTCAGAAGCTAATGACTCTTTCGCTCTCTCTTCCTATCCCTCACTAAAAAGAAATATACCTGCTATTTATATATACTCCTTTGACCTTTATTTTACGATTTTAATATTGGTTTCTTTCAAACAAGTGCACACACAGGCAAAAAGAAAGTCAACTCAATGCAAACCGTCGAGTTTTGAAAAAAAGTGTGGAAAAATTCGCTCTTGTAATCGTGAAGCTACACTAGCTTTCACTCATACAAGCACGTAAATGTTTCGCAAATATTTCTTTTGACAAACACGGCTAAAAATACAGAGCTTAGTTTTGTATGGAGAGAAAAAAAGGGGAAACATGAAGCAAATAATAAAAAAAGACAGATACTTCTGAGATCTAAAGGCGGGCATTGACTGCATAATAGATAGTTTTCCATCTACTTCCTTTGGTAGAGTGATGTATATATATATATATATATATATGTTCGTTTTATATGTATGCTTTGAAGAAAGAGATACAAATAAACTAACGTAAATAATTGGTTTCGACATTATAGGAATATTTCAGTTATTAGATCCATTTGTCTAATGTTCTTATTCACGTAAGACTTCACAGTTGGACAGGGATGTCTTTGAATTGAATATCCCTCCTAATCTCAACTCTTCTACAACGTACTGCACAGTCCGTCCATTGGTCTATGCTTTACATACGCAATAGTTATCAAACCAACCGACATGGACACAATTCATATTCGAATATATTTTCTTATTTCAATTTTGTACTCCTGTCATTAAGTTAGGAAATAATAATAAAAAACTTAAACGTATAGATATCTCTATCTTAACAAATTTTTATCCCCGAATTAGGCCCTTTCTCTACGTTGCCATACCTCCCAGGGCTTTTCCTCATGCGCTTCTCGGCTCACATGATCCAGATACACAACCGTCCCACAATAGGAAACCCG